AGTGGGCTCTGGCCCTGTTGGCTGCCGGTGTGTGACCCAGCCCCTGCCCCACAGGAGGTGCATGTCCTCGGGCAGCGGTTCCGCAACCCAGTAGGTCTGGCGGCCGGCTTCGACAAGCAGGGCGAGGCTGTGGACGGGCTGTACAAGATGGGTTTTGGCTTTGTGGAAGTAGGGACTGTCACGCCCAAGCCCCAGGAAGGGAACGCCAGACCCAGGGTCTTCAGGCTGGTGGAGGACGAGGCTGTCATTAACAGGTGGGATCTGAGGGTGGCCGCTCTGTGGCGTCCCACAGACTGCCCGCCCAGAGGGAGAGTGTTTACTTGGGTGGTCCCAGCTCTGTGGTCTGTGCTGTGGTAGCTCTTGAGTTGGATGCGCTGAGCAGAGCTGCAGAGACCATATGTCTCCCTTGTGTTTCTTCTGTGTCCTGCTCAGGGCTTGTGGACACCGGCCCAGGCCTGAACCTTGTCTGTTCTGGTGCAGGTATGGATTCAACAGCCATGGCCACATAGCAGTGGAGCGCAGGCTGCGGGCCCGCCAGGAGACACAGCTCAGGCTCACTGGTGGTGAGACAAGCTTATAAGCCTTTGCTCTTGGGGTCTGCAGGGGGCAGTTTGGGGTCTCCCCCATAGTTGTAGGCCAGGAAATGTGTGTAACACCAGTGTCCAGGCATGGGAAGGTCCTGGTCAGAGTGAGGTGCACTCAGACAGTAGGAACCCTCTTAGGGCTGTAGCCTTTTTCCCCTTGAGACTGTGACCAGGTGCCTTTCTCCTGCCATTTTCCTTATGATAGAAGCTCCATTTGCTGCTTTGGGCAGGATGAGTCTGCTGAGACTAGCTAAAGCCAACAGAGCCATAGCTGGGCTGTTTCTGAGGGCAGCCTCCGCCAGCTGGCCAGGCTGGAGGCTGCGGTGCTGGACGGTGCTGACCGGGGCAGCTGTGGTAATACCCCTGTGGCTGCAGGACAGTCCCAAGACCACCCCTGTGAAGCACGTGGCCTGCATGTGCCTGTCTTGATTTTTAGCTGGTCCTGAGGCCTCGCTTGTCAGGTGCTCTGGCCCCTTGGGTTGGTCCTGCTGCCCTGGTTCAGCCGTGTCTGTGTTCCAGAGGGAATGCCCCTTGGAGTCAACCTGGGCAAGAACAAGAGCTCTACCGATGCTGCAGCTGACTACATGGCTGGGGTCCGGACACTGGGCCCTTTGGCTGACTACCTCGTTGTGAATGTGTCCAGCCCAAACACCCTGGGGCTGCGGGACCTGCAGGGCAAGGCTGAGCTGCAGGACCTGCTGACCAAGGTTGGTCACCCTCACAGTCAACCCAGACCACAGCTGCAGCACTGGATGCATCCTGTCCCCTGTCAGCGCCTGCTCTGCTCCAGCCAGTGGGTTTGCCCCAGCACAGGGCAGAGCATGGTGGCTACCCAGAGTGGTGGGCAGAGCCACCGAGATGTCCCCTGATCAGCTGCTGGCACGGGGTTCACTGGGGCGCTGTAGTCCAGCAAAGGAGTAGGCAGTGAGGCATTGCTCTGCCTCTGCGTGGGGGCAGCGAGCCACCCACCCCACAGCACTGGGAGTCGCTGTGGTCCTGTGCAGGTCGTGTGCACCAGGCCCTGTGCCATAGGGTGCCTGTCCCCTCGACAGCGCCATGTAGGGAGAGCAGGGCCTGCCCATGTGCTGCCTGTGGCGGTGGGTGTACACGTCTCCCCCAGTCCGGGGCAGGAGGTGTTCCCCCACCATGAGCTGCTCTGTGCCCCCGCGTGTCCCCCTCCAGGTGCTGGCGGAGAGGGACCTGCTGCCATGCGAGCGCAAGCCAGCTGTGCTGGTGAAGATTGCCCCTGACCTCACTGTGCAGGACAAGCAGGACATTGCTAGCGTCGTCTGCGAGGTGAGGAACTGGGCTGGTGTGCCTCCTGCTGCGCCTTGCATGGCGCGGGGGCAGGACTGCAGTGCTCTCGGCAAGTCACCTCTCTGAAGGGACAGGCAGACCTGCAGTGCTCTGGCTGCCAGAGGCATGGTGTCCTGGGTAGCTCTGAGTCCGTGAGAGCCTGTGTGTGTCACCTGGACCTTGGAGACAGTCCAGGCAGTGAGAGGCAGCTGCTTTGTCCTGAGTCACATTTCTGGGGTACTTGCCAGGAAGGTCCGGGCCTGGCAGCCTGGGGACGAAAGTGGGGGGCTGCTCGTGGCAGCTGAGACCTCATGCTGCTGCCCCCCTCAGCTAGGTGTGGATGGGCTGATTGTCAGCAACACCACCGTGAGCCGCCCCAGCAGCCTCCGGAGCCGGCAGCGCACAGAGCCTGGGGGCCTCAGCGGGAAGCCCCTGCGGGAGCTCTCCACGCAGACCATCAGGGAGATGTACTCCCTCACCCGAGGTAGGGGCGGGGCAGGCCCTGGGGGCACGTGCTGGCATCGCCCATGCTGTCCTGACCCGGCACCGGCCCACAGGCCAGGTACCCATCATTGGAGTTGGTGGGGTGAGCAGTGGGCATGATGCCCTGGAGAAGATCCGTGCTGGAGCTTCGCTTGTGCAGATGTACACGGCGCTTGTGTACCACGGGCCGCTATGTGAAGCAGGAACTGGAGGAGCTGCTGAGGTGAGTGAGGGGCCAGGCTCTTCCCCAGGGAGCCCTTGGGCCCAGCATGGCTCTGGCAGCTGCGTGCTGGTACACAAGCAGTGGTACCGTGGGGCCGAGCCACAGTGCGAGGCTGTCACACGCTGTCCCTGGTTAGGGAGCAGGGATTCAAGAATGTCATGGAGGCGGTTGGAGCAGATCACCGGTGCTGACGTGCTGCAGAACCAAGGCCTAGCTGGGAGGAGCTGCGGCCAAGAAGGGACAGGTCTGATGCTTCCAGTGCTGGGCAGGCTGGGACTGAGCTGAGGTCCTCGTCTCAGCCCCTGAGAAGAGTCAGTGACAGGTGAAGCTGGGGCTGCACTGGTGGGGAGCAGGGCAGGGGACCTCCACCCTGGTGCTGCTGTCCAGGGCCGTATTTTGGCTTTCCTGTGGGTTGGGCTCCCCAGCAGAAACCAGCACTGGGTAAGGTTCTGCTGGGCAGTGAGGAAGGCCCCTGAGGGGACAGCCCTGCAGGCTGTAGGCAGTCCTGTGCCCCGGCTCCTGCTGCAGCACTTCCCTGTGGAAGCACACCTTCCGTGGTGTTACTGCCCAGAGCCGTGAGCTAAGCAGTGTATTGGGTGTCCTTTCTCCCAGGGACCCCGCAGACCGTGCTGCCTGCTCTGGCTGGTGCTTGGTCCTCCCGCACTGCAGCCTCTGCCGAGGGTCTGCCCTCCTCCCCTCTGTGCATGCAGTCCTGTAACAAACCTGCGGCCCCGGGTCCTGCCCAAGTGTCAATAAATGTTTTGGCTCACCTGGTCCTGTGTGCTGTTCTGGGGACACCCCTTGGGTTGGGGGGACATGGCCTGGCTCTCCTCAGCTGAGCAGGATCAGCTCTCTTACGTTGTTTCTGGTCAGTGCATCTTTTCCCAGTGGTAGAAACCACAGGGTGTCTGGGCTCTGGGATGGATCCACGCAAAGCTCACCAGGGACCTCTGCCTGAGGCTGGGGCCCTTGGGAGGTACTGGGCACCATTTCTTCCCTTTGCTGCCAGTACCAATGGCTCCAACAGTAGATGTTTGGAGATAGCTTCATCACTTGTTATGGAAAGGCCCTGGTCGTTCATGCTTCTGGAGGCTGTTGGTTTTGTCTTTGGGGCCTCCGGTGTTTACTGCTGCTTTACTCTGAACTCCCTGTGGTCCTCTCAGGCCTTTCTTGAGCAACACGGCTTGACCGGGACTCAGCGTTCCCTCTGCAGCTTCTTGCAATCCACCCTTGCAGAGCAGGATTGTGTAACAGCACTTCACTAAAACAAACCTGTGTACAGGAGGAGCAGGACTGCTGACCCCGCTCTCAGCAGTGCTTGGCTCACGTCAGGGCTGTGTCTGCACCAGCGTCTTTCCTAGATTCTCTGCTTTGGACAGGTGGTGCTTATTGCTGCTCCAACAGGGATGTGACCTAGTCCCTTGGGCCAAGGTTTTGATGTCCTTTCTCTGGAGAGGGCCTGGGAGGTGCTTCCTCTCCCAGTCAGAGGGTGGCTGTCACACCTGTGGGAATGAGCCTGAGTTTTACCTTGTCCCATGACAGTCCTGTCTGTGCTCTGCAGCTGATTCGTGACTGGTTTGGAGACATTCAGTGCTTTGTGCTGGCCTCAAGCATGGTCCCACACTGCTGGTGTGTGGATTGTGCCCCACAGACAGGCTGGGGCAGCTTCCTCCACCTTCCTGCAGGCAGTCTCTGTCCGAGCTAACCTTGAGGCTGCCAGGTGGGCACCAAGGCACAGTTTCGTGTTGGTTTTTCCCCGCCTGCCAAGGCTCGGCAGCCTCTTGCAGATGGTCTAACCTGCTGCAGTGGGACAGTGTGCTCTGAACCTGCATCAGCAGGTGCCACAGTGCCTTTCTAAGTGCTGGCATAGTTCATGGATCGGAGCTGCCAAGCCCTGATGTGTCCTGTGCTGGATTCTAGCCTTATGTGTTTCAAGTGTGGTTGCATGAGTATGGCTGGTGCTGGGCTGGAGACCTCAAGCCCTGCATTATTTAGGGGGACAGGCACCCCATGAGATGGGAAGAAGCTTGCGCAGGATGGGAAAGCCCTCTTCTAGGGTGTCTGGGACCAGACACAGATGTTCCTCCTGAGCCTGAAGGACTGGAGCGTGTGAGGGGCAGGAGGGCCACTGGCAAGACACACAGCAGGCCAGGCTTCGATGGCTCAGGGCCGGGGCTGGTCCCACATGCTCCAGATGGTTTTGAGGTGGCCTCCCTGCAACACTTGCACCCTGGGGGAGATAAGAGGGTGGGTGCCTGCTCCCCTCTGTGCTGCCCCTTGGTTGTGCTCCTGTTGGAAGCAGACTGCTCATAAGAGCAGGCTGATGTGCTTTTGCCTATGCCCTTGCTGCTGGCTGGACACATCCAGCTGGGCACAGGCCAGCAATTGCTGCTACAAGTTCCCGTAAGGCTGGGCTGGGCCCTTGCCTTTGCTAACAAACAACCTGCACCCAAGGGTCCAGGGGCTGCCAGGACACGGGCTGGAGCCCGCTGGGCGGGAAGGGGTGGGTTCTTGTGGGAAGAGGTGGGCTTGACCGCAGTCCCTTGGAGCGGGCAGTGAGCTGTTGTGGGACAGCCCTGCTGCACCCCTCGGCCAGCTGGGCAGGCGCTGCCCGGGGCACTGGCAGCACTGAGCCCCGCTGCACCCCAGCTTTGTGGGGTAGCTAGTGGGGTGCACCCCAGCTGTGGGCAGAACCAGGCACAGGGTGGGGTGGTGCTCGGCTCCTGTGCCCCAGCTTCACCTGCCAGCACTTGGGTGGCTGCCTGCGCCCTGTGGGGCTGCTGGGTGCCCCCACGGGGGCTGGCTCTGCTCTGTGAACCTCAGCTGGTGTCACAACGCCAGGATGTGCAGCCAGAACCCTCCCCACATATTTGTAGCTGCAAAATCCCGGAAACTCTTGGCACACTGGCTTCCCACGGGGGCTTGGCAGGCTTGCCGGGAGCCTCTGCCAGCACTGCTGTGAGCCAGGTGGGGCTTTTTGTGCTGCTCCTGCTGGGAAAGGTTCTGGCTGCCTATGGCAGGGTCAGGAGGTCTGGAGCACATGGGGCTGCACCAGAGCAAGGGAGGTGGCAATAAAAGGGAGGAGGAGGGAGCCCTGAACAGCATCGACCTGCAGAAGGAGGCTGCTGTGAGGAGAGGGAGCTATGAGCATGGGGTGAGCAATGTTTGTGTGTCCCTGCACATGCTGGCTGCTGTGTCCATTCTGCTTGCCTGTCTGAGGACCTGGCCCTGTGGGCTGTGGCAGGACCCGCGTTGTTCCATTAAGCGCTCCAGGTCCCAACACTGCAGCTTTGTGCTCCACAGCAGCAGGGTCCATGGCCCAGGCTGTGTCTGGTGTGCAGCCCCAAGGGTGTGAGGTCGGCCCTCTGCCCTCCCGGGGTGGGAGCCCCAGCACAGGGCATGAACCCGGCCAGGGCATTGGTCCTGGTGGAGCCCATAGACCAGGAGCAGGGGGGTCGAGTCCTCTACTGAGTGTGCTTTCTCTTCCCTGCAGACCTGCAGTGCTGCTGATTGCTGGCCTGGTCTGGACCGTGCTGGAGACTGCAACTGCCACCGGTACCTTCCGGCGCAAGGGTGGGAGCACTGGTGCTCAGATGAAGCCAGGAGCAGCTTGGCAGGGCCCAGGCATGGGGCAGGGAAGACAGGACTGGGGAGGGACTCATCGGAGGTGGGGGCAATGTCCTGGCCTGAGTCCTCTGGGCTAGCTGAGCATCCTCTGCCTGCAGAGTGGAGCTGTGCAAAGCCTGCAGAGATTGAACATGGCTACGTGGAGCACCTGATCAAGTACCGCTGCAACCCATACTACCAGCTGCATGGCTCTGGTGACGGTGAGGCACACAGCATGGGCACAGCACCCAGGAACGGGGCTTGACCCTGGCTCCAGGGGATCCATGGGGTTGCCCCAATGCCGGATGGCAGCCCCCTCCCCCCCCACCACTTCCTGGAGGGTACGAGTAGCTACACCTGCTCCCACAAGCCCTGGGGGAGGTACAAGTAACTCCACCCCTCCCTGGCTGTGGGGACTCTTCCCCACGCTTGCAGGGCAGGGGTGCTGACTCTGGTTTGCCTCCAAAGGCACGTACAAGTGTGATGAGGATCACGCGTGGGTGAGCCCTGAAGCTGGCCAGGACGTACCTGTCTGCGTGCCAGGTGAGAGCAGAGCACCAGGGGCTGGGGCTGCGAGGGGTGGGGCAGATGGGAGGCTGTGAGCAGTCTGTCTGGGCAGCTGAAGGGCTGCATGGGCTGCTCGCAACCCCCATCTTCAGTGCTGCTCCCTGGGGCTGCTGTGGGTCAGGAGGCATCTGGCACCTGCTGGCCTCAGAGGGCTCACCAGGGTCCTGCTCTGCCCTGTGCAGTGTGTGGGAAGCCGAAGAACCCTCCCAGGCAGATGCAGCGCATCATCGGGGGCCTGCTGGCTGGGAAGGGCAGCTTCCCTTGGCAAGGCCGGCTGGGGGCCCGCCCAAGGGGCGGCGGGCCCCCCGCCATAACCTCACTGTGGGGGCCACGCTCATTGGTGACCAGTGGCTGCTGACCACGGGCAGGAACGTCTACCTGAACCACAGTGAGAACACAAAGCCAGAGGAGATCGCCCCAACGCTGCAGCTCTTCCTGGGCAGCCAGCCACAGCCTGCCTTAGGCATTGAGCGTGTTGTGCTGCACCCTGGCTATCCAGAGGCTGTGGATCTGGCCCTGCTGAAGCTCAAGCAGAAGTTGCTCGTCGGAGAGGAGGTGATGCCCATCTGCCTGCCCCAGAAGGACTATGTGCTCCCGGGGCGAGTGGGCTACGTCTCAGGCTGGGGCCGTGGTGCCACCTTTGCCTTTCCCAACATGCTGAAGTATGTGATGCTGCCAGTGGCAGAGGGTGAGAGGTGCAGGGAGTACTACGAGGGGCGGAATGAGTCCTACTGGGTCCAGCCCATCCTCAGCAATGACACCTTCTGTGTGGGCATGAGCGAACTGCGGGAGGATACGTGCTATGGGGATGCTGGCGGCGCCTTTGCCGTGCAGGACCCCGACGATGACACCTGGTACGTGGCTGGCATCCTCAGCTACGACAAGACCTGCACAGCCTCCAAGTATGGCGTATATGTGGATGTGCTGCGTGTTCTGGCCTGGGTCAAGGAGACGGTGGCAGCCGGCTGAGGCGGGGCCGTGGGGGAATAAAACT